CGAGATACAATTATTTGAAAATCTGGAATCTGAGGGTGCAGAAAAAATCAAAATATTGAGAAAATCGCCTTTAAAGTTGTCCAAATGAAGTCCTTAGCAATGCATATTACTAATCAAAAATTAAGTTTTGATATATTTACAGTAGGAAATTTACAAAATATCTTCATGGAACATGATCTTTACTTAATATCCTAATGATTTTTGGCATAGAAGAAAAATCAATAATTTTGACCCATACAATGTGTTTTTGGCTATTGCTACAAACATACCCGTGCAACTTAAGACTGGTTTTGTGGTCCAGGGTCACATATATATATATAACACACAGATTTTTATTAAAATCTATACACTTTTAATATCTATTTTATTAAACTATACACACACACACACACACACACACACATATATATATATAGTAGCAAAAACCGTTTTTGACATTGATAGTAATAGTTATCATTTATAATAAAGTATCTCTGTCTACATAAAGTATTTCTCGAGAGATACTTTGTTATTGTTGTTGCTTATATTCTTTTCCCTATTTAGTCTCTTCCCTCCATTTCCGGGTGAGGAGAGCTCCCTGACCTGGGACAGCAAGAAGTTTGAAGAGTTACCGATAGCACACATAAAAGCCACATATAACAAGTAAGTTGCTTGACAACAAATAAAATAGTCGTGATTGACAAATTAAAATGGAATTAGTTCAGATATAGTTTGATTATAGTTTTTTTGCTGTGTGCATGCAGCTATACCATACGCTTATTTCATCTCTTAACTATGTTTGTCTTTTATCCATCTGTTGCGTTGGTCAAAGTGCTTTTGTTGCATAACATATCCTACTGTACATCATGTCTTTTAGTTTCAATGCCCATGTGAAATGAATTTACAGTGTTTTCTTAGTGTATCTAGGGACTACAGATGTTAATAGTATATGCATTATAGTATTATATGAAATGGTATGAAAATTTCTTATCACGATTATAGTGACCAAAATGATCACGGTTATCAGTATTATCACGGTATTGTTAAAATGTGCTGGAAATGTTCAAAAAGTACTGACACACAAATCATTTCACCAAGTTTTACATTTAAAATCAACAAACAACAAATAAAATGAGTTTTTGTTTGCATAACAAACAATAACATTGCCAATGATGTCCGGATTTTAAATGACAACATGACTGACAACAGTTTATTAAATAGCATGTTCAAATATCTCATGTAAATGTTCAAATAAAGCTTTGAAAAAGTTTCGTAAATGGTAAACCTCACATTTCAGCATTTAAATAAAGAAAAGGGTCAAGTCAAAATTATAATTGATTAATAAATGATTATATGTATTTATCTGCTCCATAAATAATACTAGATACCTTATTGTTTAAATGTGTAGAATCCACATAAGCTTGTTTTTCATCAACCGGTCAAAATTTACAGCAGGGCATGCTAATTCGGTCCGTTTTTTGATCTACACACCTTTCATTTTTGCTGCACGCAGCTTCGCGCTCCTGACGCGGCGAGTATAAACCAGGCTCTACACTCGAAGCGCTGCGCAGCTCAAACGAGTCGCGCGGTTTCGTTATGCTTTCAGTTTCGTTTGCCGTTTGATGTTTCTCACATGCAACAGAAATGCAGCGCTTATGAGTTAAACAATGCCAGTGTGACCGCACACAAAATTTAGTTGCACCGACAGAAAAAATGATCGCAAAATGCGCCCATTTGGTCGCACACTGGAGCCCTGTGCAGTACAGTATTTATTTATCCTCAGTTGTTCAAATCGCGGTAATCGAATACAGTTATAGTGATAATTAAAATATGAAACGGTAATACTAACCGTGGGGTATTTTATCACGATTTATCGTCAAACCGGTAATCGTTACATCCCTAATGCATTATAATTATTATTTATACCTAATACTGCATGTTTACATATAGCTAACTGTATTTTGTCCTTCATTTCTTGCTTAAGCACACATATCCACATCACAGATTGTCTGGGCCAGTACATGGTCCGAACCTCGTGTGGATCAGAAGGTTTCAAGAATGTGAAGAAATCCACTCCTATTGCAGC